TGAATTGTGCCCTGGCTTGTTTTAATTGCACTTCGACTTGTTTACACTGCGACTCAGTTTAATTGAGCCATGACACAGTTCGTCGACATTGTGTTGCGGCTCAGAAAATTGTGCTACGGCGCAAAGTCAGAATTTCACTCTCTTCTTCTTGCCTTGATTCATCCGCACTCAAACGAGTTCAGGACGTCGGAACACTAGGACAAGCACAAATAATCCATTCTTTTGCACCTGAATACCTGAAAACACATATAACACCCGTGATTATGGAAGATAATGAAACATGCAAGAAATCACATCATAAATCATACATTAAACCTTAAATTCCTTATAGTTTCACCCCAAAATCACTCAATAAAATCGCATGTCCAACACTCAACATGGTTTTATTTCCCCTCAATTATCTTCTCTCTTCTTTTAGTTTATTTTATAATACGTTATCAGCACGAGTCTCTAACCATATCAACTTGTCAAGGGAAAAAGAAAGATCCTCATTATTATTTACAATATCAAGTGCTATATTGTATGAAAAATATTATCGACAATTATTTCTTTTCAATTCCATATTTTTCTTATAGAGACATAATTTGTTGAGGAATGTCGATAGAGAGAAGATTGGCCAAAATGGAAAGACGCAATCAAGGTAGAATTGAATTCATTAGAAAAACATAGTGTTTTTGGACTTGTAGTCCAAACACCTAAAGATGTAATGCCAATGGGGTACAAATGGGTATTTGTGTGAAAACGAAATGAGAAAAATGCAGTCGTAAGATAAAAAGCACGACTTGTAGCAAAAAGGTTTTCGCAAAGACCTAGCATTGATTATGAAGAAACATATTCTCCTGTGATGGATGCAATAACATTTCGATTTCTTATTAGTTTGGCAATAAATAAAACCCTTGATATGCGTCTAATGGATGTAATTATAGCCTATTTATATAGATCACTTGATAACAACATATATATGAAAATCCCTGAAGGATTTAAAGTGCCTGAAGCATGTAACTCAAATTCTCGAGAATTTTATTCAATTAAATTGCATAAATCATTTTATGGATTAAAGCAATAAGGTCGTATGTGGTATAATTGTCTTAGTGAATATTTGTTCAAAGAAGGTTATAAAAAATAACCCTATTTGCCCATGTGTTTTCATAAAAAAATTTGGATCTGAATTTGTTATAATTGCTATATATGTTGATGACTTGAATATTATTGGAACTCCTAAAGAGATTTGAAGGGCAATAGATTATCTAAAAATGGAACTTGAGATGAAAGACCTTGGAAAAACAAAATTTTGTCTTAGTTTGCAAATTGAGCACTTAATGAGTGAAATTTTTGTGCACCAATCAAATTATACCGAGAAAATCTTAAAACATTTTTTTATGGATAAATCACATCCATTGAGTACCCCAATGGTTGTAAGATCACTTTATGTGAACAAAGATCATTTTCGGCCAGTAGAAGATAAAGAAGAGAGGTACTTGGTCCTGAAGTGTCATACCTAAGTGCAATAGGTGCATTAATGTATCTTGTTAACAATACATGACCAGATATAGCATTTTCAGTAAATTTGTTAGCAAGATATATGATGCCAAAATAATAATGAGAGAGATGACTGAACGTAAGCAAACAAGGATACACTAAACCACCAGCGAATGCATCAAGTTCGGATACTGGATTGGATAAAACAACCACAAAAGGTTGGATTGTTTAAGATAACCACAAAAGGTTCTCAATCATTCATTCAAAAATATATTCAACTCCCTTTCCAAGGTTACAAAGACTCTTATTTATACTATAATTATCCTTAACTAACTAAGAAAGGAATAAACCTAAATTGGAAACAAACCTTATTCTAATATGGAAAATACCTAAAACAAGAAATTGAATTTAATTAGGACTATTATAATAAAATAAGAAAACGTAAATATAAGGAAATAATAAAATTTCTTTCCTAAAGAATTTTAATAATATATTCCCTGCATCATTCTCCCCCACTAGTTGGAAATTCGCCCTCAAATTTCTAGCACAAATATCTTAATCTTCAACTTGCATTAATGGAAACTTCTTTAAGTTCATCTCTCGGTAATATGCACAAAGAACTTTAAATTTCCCAATCTGTGTAATAACATCCATCCAATCACTCCTATTGTTTAAAATAAAGTCACAAAGCAAAATTTCCTTCAACCATTTCTTGTTGGTATGATCATGCATGTCTTCACAAAAATTGATGACAAAAGAATTTCTTTCATAGCCATCCATGCGTACTTCAAAGGAATCTTCTTCTTCAAGCATTGATTCTTCAATAATTTCTTCATCAAATTTCAACAGCTCACCATGATCATCAAAATAATCAAAGTGGTCACAAGGGCTAACCTCAATGTCATCACCATAAGTATCTTCAAACTCTTCTTCCTCGTGTTCTTCCATTGGGACCTTGATTTGCTCAAGTCACCGTTGGAGTTCTTGAACTTGTCTCCTCAGATCGTCGATCTCTACATCTCGTTGATCAATAGCGTCTCCCCTAGGAGCCACCCTACGACCCTTGCCGTGAATTTGCCAACCTTGATCACAAGTCTATTTAGCCCTCGATAACAAGCTTGTGCTCTGATACCAAATGATGCCGAAACAATCAAGAGAGAGATGACTGTGTTAGTAAACGGTCCCTTCTACGTAGCGGAACAAAAATAATATAACTCAAGGATCGTTTACATGAGCCAAGATCAAGGGTATAATTTTACAATTCTATCATAATAAGAATCTGCAGAAATATTAATCATGAGTTAAGAGAAAACAAACACACGTTGGAGGCTCTTCCAAATTTGTCGACGAATGTTTTGCTACCGATCCAAGTGTAGGATCGAACCCACGTAGTCCACACGAAGACAATCTCAAAAGAACTAAGGAGAGATTTGCTAGATCCTCCTTAGCCTTAAGAATCAAGAAGACAAATCACATGAATTGATTTTGGGCAAAAATGGGATTCTGCTGTGGGAGTGTCAAATGGGGGCTGTGTGTTTTTGTTTTTCTAAGAAAAATCTCTTAATGAAAAATCACACATTTTTCTTTTTATAGTAAAAACAATTTGCCCTAATCCCATACGGAATAGGCTTGAGCTCCAACCCAAACGCCCCATGTTGCCAAACACTCCCAATTTGATTTATTTTATTTTCCATCATTATCTCAATTAAAATCAATTAATATATATATTTAAATATATATATAAACATTTAACAATAATGATAATATATTTAAATATATGCGAACACACATTTAAACGTAATTTTACTTATTTAATTTTTCTAACAAATTAAATAAAGGCTACGACCTCAGCAAATTTAATTGCACTGTGAAATTACCAAAATACCCTTTCGCCTTAAAAGACGAAAACGCCCTTCTTTCTTCTTGCATCTTAAATTGTCTTCTATGTGTGTGACCCTTAAGCTCCTCATCATATCGGCAGTGTATAGTATTGCGATTAACACCAATTAATCGTCTCACTAATACACAGACCAAGATTGGCCCCTAGCAAGGCATCATGGCCACCCGATAGATTCGGATTCAGCAAAGTAGCTACCTGTCAACGATATGGTTACCGTGCAATTCGATCCTTTCATCATACGTTATCTCGACGAGACGAAGGCATAGAAATAGTGTCAACCTTCGGTTACTCTCGATATTATTTATTCAGTTTCTGGACCAATGACCCGTATTATAAACTGGATAGAGCAACAACTCAATCCCACTGTGGCCACAGTTTTAGTGTCATTGCCATATACTGAATTGCGCCGTGAGATAACTTTCTCCCGTACCCGGGAGTGATAAATCCTCTGTCAATCCACCATAGTCTTGATACACTCCTTGATGCAGCCAATCACCACCGTATTGACAGCTCTGAAAAGAACTGCGTTAGGCTACCTGAAAAAGAAATTCATATCATTAACAAATCAATCACTTATCATTAAGGTGACAATTAACGTGCGATATCAAACCTAATGATTAACAGATGATTCACATCACTAATAATGATCATATGTATGCCAATTAACAAGATCTTCAAGAGGCTGAATCACAAAGCCGCAACAACAGAAAAGGAGCAAACAACTCCTAAATTGCCCCCTTTTTCTCAGTTGTGTGAAGGAGGGGTACCACAAGAGGCTTCCTAGGATGCTACCTTGCTATAGCCAAAGCACTGGATCTACTAAATACGGCACAGGAAAGGTGTATATCGTGAATCTAATGCCTTGCACCAAGCAAACAGGACATAAGAATCCTGGAAGAATAATCCGGTAATGGATTTCATCCAGTAGAACCGTGGAGCATGCAGTTGCAGATTTTTTCCACAAGCATGGTAAGTCTTCCTCCTATTCTTAAAACTTCCTGTCCCCGCTTATTTTTGCTGTCTTCTAAATCCCTTTTCAATTTATTATTATCTTTTAATTTCTATCATCAGGAAAACATCTTTTTTTTTTTTTTTTTGGGGTAAGTATCAGGAAAACATCTCCAATACACTAAAATTGCATGGCTAGTTCTCATTACATGTCCCTCCTGCACTTCTTTATGACTTTTTTTGAGGTTTTAAAGAAGTGATCTGAGATTTCACTTGGTCTTCTATTTTTAATAATATTCAAACAGCAGTCATATAATTTCCAATCTTTCTCAACTAAAACCTATTTCCGTAACCATATACAATGAGAACCATCCTTCACACTACCTGGGAAAACATAAATTAATTAAATGCACAATAAAACGTTACTAAAACTCTGAAAACTTCTAAACTGTGGCATTTAAAAACCATAAATAGTCAAATTCAACCTCACCCTTGATACAAAGAAAGCAACTTTTGGTCATCCTATTGAACATTTACTTCATCATACTATAAAGAAAGGAGGGGAGGGGCAAACACAGAACAAATCCACAGGCTTCTACACGAAAATTAGATATAAAGCATTTTAATATATCAAACTTCTTTAAGCCACTCTTACATCTTTTAGTGTGAGTATATCTCATTGAGGATAAGAAAAGCTTTCGTATTCTCTTCTTCCAAGCTTTCCTGCAAAAAGAACATGAAAGAATTAAATAGGTAATCAATCACCATCTAAGTCTGCAAACTAAGTTGTAACTTTCAAATCTACATCAAGGAGGCAATCAATATGATATATAAATGGAAATGCAATTTATGTGCCAACACAGCAAAATTACAGAGGCTTAAATTTTCTTCTTCTTCTTTTTTTTTTTTTTTTTTTTTTTTGGGTGGAGAGGGGAGCATAACAAGATCATAGATTTCTGTCATGTATAGCGCAAAGTGATTGCCAGATGCATCACAGTAAACCTTACAAAAGGATTATTATCCAGTGCATGGTTTTTTAAAACAAGGGACATAAGAATGGTGATCCTGATACAATCCCAACTTCACAGAATTTTTCCTTAGCTGGTTTCTGTCAAGTCAACCTACACTCTTCCTAGAGAAAATTTGCCAACCTAGCCACGCAAAAGGCCTTGAGGCCAAAAAATGTAGAGGAAGGAAAGATGAAGGGGAGCTGAACAAGAGCACTATGAATCCTCATCTCAGTCTGCATGTCATGAAGGACAGGCAGGTAGAAGATAAAGAGAAGAAGAACGTAGGAGAACCAAAAGAAAAGGGAGGAAACAGAGAGAGTTGAGGAGAAGCTAAATTTCCATTATCTTCTTCAATACTAAGTCGAATCGAAGCTAATATTTCTTCAACTGGCAAAATCCTAACTAGAGAGTACATCAAACTCACATAAGCAAATACCATATACCTCAAATAATTTAAAGAAAACCTACTCTAATAAAAAATATATTAACTCCAAGTAAATAAATACTAAAAATAAATATACTAAAACAAAATATATGACCTTCAATGTATGAACCAGAAGAATATGAAAACATGCTAAACGGCGCATAAGAGTTGCAACATCAGCTGGAGATTTCAGGCCAAGTAATAAATCAATCAGCTCTTCATATCTGGATGTACAAAACCAAGCATGTTCCTGTACCATACACTAACAATGAAGTCCATAAACCAACAAGCATTACTAACAACAATTCAAAAGTACAAAGAGTTAACACAACCTTTAAAACTTTGCCCAAAGTGTGATAGGCTTCAAGATGACCTGTCATCATAGCCTAAATACCACAGGGCCATAAATGAAATTAGAATAAACTCAACACACAAAAAAAAAAAAAAAAAAAAAAAAGATTTCTTTACAGGGCAGGTTTTATTTTAAGATACCTGAAAAGTATGCCTAATGAAGTTGTAAATTAAATCCACAAGATCTCTATTGCCTCCTTCGACAAAAGAAGCTGCTAGCTCCATTATCACAGACCTGTTAAGAAAGTCAAAAAGATGCATGACACAAATTTCATCAATCTAATCTATTACAAAAAAAATATAAGTTGAAAAAAAAAAAATCAAGTACGGATATGATTAATTAAAGAAACAAAGGTTATATAAATATTTAAGAATGAAAAAAAAAAAGATCAGCATACAGAAATGCAAAAAAAACAAACTTCACACTAATCCATTCATTTTATATCTTTTTTGTTTATTCCAATAAAACAGAACTTAAAATTCCATTCAGTTACCTCTGTAGATCTTTCTCTGAAGCACTAAGATCGCCTTGCTCTTTATCAAGGGCATTATTGATATGACTTTCCATCCCCCAAATCACCTTTGCCATTTACCAAAGAAACCTCTTCAGCAATGTCATAAAAATATCTTTTACTGTGGAAGAATGTTATAGAAGCAAGCAACCAATGGCATCCTACAAAAGAGACCAGAAAAATAGTGATGAATAATACAACAAATTCACAAATTTAAAAGATCAGTTTTTTAATAATCAATGCGAAGCATATTCAAGAAAAGCTGAAGGCAATGATCTGATATGAAAAAAGTTCTAACTCTTGAGATATATTCAGACCCTAAAATGTGTATTAAGAATAAAAGATGGAAACCTTTAAATACGAGCACTTCTCCTGCTGGAGTCAATAAATAAGTTGACCAAAGCCTGGAGCAAGTCGTGTAGAACATGATGCCAAAGCCTTAATATTTTTTGTTGCAGTTTTTAGTATATGAAGGTATCTTCTGATCTCTAATATAGAACCTTTGCTCGAATGAAGGTATCCTTCTGATCTTCATGATGCTTGACTCACCAATATCATTTTTTGAGTTAAGAACGCTTCGGTTTTGATTTACTAGAACCTATGAGAGAAATGAAAAGGTAAACAGGCTAAATAAGCAGAAACATGATAATAATGAAAAAAAAAAAAAAACAAAAAAAAAAAAAAAAAAAGAAACTGATGAGTGGAATCACTATGAAGACTAAGAAAGATTACCTGTAAGGCAACAGCATATATTTCATGCATAGATGAGTCCTCAAGAAAGGTAATTAAAGTTTGGCCAAAGGTCCAAACATTGGCGAGTGTCAGTTGGATACTGACAGAAGGCAGGTAGAAGTCGCCACAGTGCCTGAGCATGAGCCTGCAAATCTTGACCAATTACTGATTTCTTAACTGAAAAAGAAAAAAAAGAAAGAAAAGATGAAAAGAATTCCAGAAAGTGACAACAAAGATGCAAGCATCAATTGTAATAGAATGGTAACATAAAGAATATGTGTAGAACTGAAAATACAGAAGGGTGAAGAAAGCAGAAGAGAGTTTCACTTCTCAGTTCATTATAGTTCTACAATAGTTACTCCAAAAAGGAAGCCGTAAAAAAGAATTTTAAAAATAAAAACAGAAAGGGTCATGAGAGAGATACAATTTAGTATTACATCAATATTAGAATTCAAATTGTAACAACCAGACATCCAAACTGACTAATATGCTATCAGGAAGATATGATACTACTAAACCCATAAATCTGAAACCCATTTAAACTGAACAAAATTCTCTTTGGTGTGGCCTTTGGGCCCTAGATTCTAAGATGATTAAAGGTGAAACATCATATATTAGCTACACTTTTGACCTTCCTTACAACCAAAATAATATTATATATTTATTTGTGCTATAACTCAAGAAGAAAATCTATTACATAGTGGTCATCTATGCAATAAAACAGAATGAATAAGAGATTGATCCAACACAAGGAATTCCTAATCCAATCAAGATATCTTGAGTACAAAATAACGCATGATTAGATATTGAACTAAATTGTTTTTACATGTTACAATTCAATTGTTTGGTGAAGTAATAAAACACTGGAAAAGATATAACATCATTGGATAATAATGAGTGCATTGGTTCATTATTTTGGATAGGATTTTGGGAATAATATGGGTTGTTGGATAGGGGAGTACTAGAGGTAAACTTTAAAAATTTATGAAAAAGCTTAGGTTTACTAATTTAATTAAAGGCCTAATATATAAAATGACAAAAATACTACACCATCTGCAATGCCAGATTCCGGCCACCATGCCGGAATCTAGCTGGAATTATTACGACACAGACCGGGTCGGATCTGTGCCGTAACGTGTGTTATGGCCTTTTCCGGCCAAGGATCTGGCTGGAAAAGGCCAGATTTACAGCCAAATGTGTCGTTGATGGGCGGAAATGTCAACGAAGTCCATCTTTGGCGTCAGCGACGACAAAGATGTGGCCGTTGTTGACCGTCAACGACGGCAGATCAGATTGGTGAACTTCCGACATTTATGGTCAGCAGGTAGGCCGTTGTACAGATTCGGCTATCCACGATGGTGGTTGCCGGAATCTGCCAAGTAGGGTGATGGGGGTGTTTTTGTTAATTTTTAAACTTTTTTTCAGGGGGTATTTAGAAAATTAATAACCTTATGGGTCAAAGTAATTAAAAAAATAGGGTAATTTCTGGATAATGTGCCAAACATTATTTGGAGAATAGATTGAGAATAGGATAGAAATAGGGAACCAAACGACACCCAATGATCCTTGCATACATATCCTTGATAAACATGGTAGGAGAAATGCAACATGTCCAAACTTTGACAAGTCACAGTGATAGTTAATGCCTTTACACAAAATTGTGCAGTGCAATATACACAAAAAAAAAAAAAAAAAAAAAAAAAAAAAACAAACGAAAGAAAGAAAACACATTCTCATTTTATCAGAGTTAGGCTACGTTTCTTCCTCATTCGAGTATAATTTATTGTTTTCAAAGTCTAAAAATAGAGAAATAAATCCTTCAACCTTTCAGAAAGCGTTTAAAAAAAAAAATTCCATTTTAGTTTTAAAAAGGATAAAAAAAAAAAAAAGACGGAAACACATTTACTGTTTTATGAAGTTTCAAGATTTATTGTCACATCAAAAAGCCCTTTCGTATCCATTTCTATAAGTAATTTAATTTGATTTTTTAAATCACTAACAATGTTATTTTACTATTACATATTAAGAATATTTTCATTTTAAAAAACACATTTACAAATCTTGAAAATCAACAAATGAAATTTATAATTCTCAATTTTGAAATGATTTTGCAGAAAAGATTTTCTGATATCATATCAACAGCCCTTATTACACTTGATGTCTAATAATAATGCTCACTATGGGGGAAAAAAAAAAAAATTTAACTTCATATGCTTACAAGAAATACTTTACGACTTGCCCGCTGAAATGTTTTTGCAAGGGGTACATATGCTCCATATAAAACCCTAGTGATGCTTCAACAACATGATTCTTAAAGATAGGAACCAACCAAGTGTTTGAACAAGTAAAATTATAAGCATCAAGGGAGATAGGTAGGAGTTTAAGTATCCTCTGTGGTCCATAGCAATTACTGCAGATCAATACAATGCTGCAGCTGCGAATCATGACAACAGCATATCAATCAATTTTCATAGACATGTAAGCCCAAAAGCTTTAGATACAGTAACGGACCATATCAAACAAAGATTTGACAAGTAACACACACAGCTTGTGAAATTCAAGGGCAACTCCAATCAGATGTTTCTCTAGTTTCAGGTTGTTAAAGATGATAATTGTTTCCGATCACCAATGCAACAAATAGTTCGAGACACTGCAAGGTTGACAAAAAACTCCCATTAACACCCACAGGTTTGTGCAGATGTCCACTGTTGCAAGGTTCATCATGTCAGCAAGTTTAAGTAAAATGCTGTTCATATAGATATATGAGAACTCCCTGCAGCCAAGAAAGGTAACAAAAAAAGTTCTAGCTATATCAGTAAATTAACCAACATACAACACAATAATGTGATGAAATTAACAAATAATCTAAAGTAACATCAATTTTTTTTTTTTTTTAAAAAAAAAAAAAAAAAGGATAGGGGTGGGGCCATTTCTAAGCATTTTTGAACCCCTCTCTTACCCCAAGGATCAAACCTGGGTGGCCAGCCAAAGAAGGTGGCTGGGGAACCACAAGGCTAAGCCTTGGGGGCTACAGCAAATCCATTCATTCTAATACGTAAAAATTAAAAGCAATGGGCATTATCACATTAACAACCCCATCTGACTCCATATAAAATATACTTTCATGCCACAAACCCTGAAGGCTCAACAGAATAATTAACGTCACAAATACATTCAGAAACATCATAGAAATAAAATCCAAACAAAGAACATTTGAATCATTTTTTTCTTCAAAGTCAAACACAAATACGGAAAATAATACTCAAAGCAAAGTCTAATATCATAAACAATTTGGAAAACAAGAGACAACATAAACTCTACGTATCCACTAAACACAATATATCAATCATCTAAAAACACAATAAACTACAATGAGTGTGACTGAGTACTAATTTAGAGAACTTCCATAAATAATATGGTAGGAACGCACTCCCAAATTGATAAGAATAGGTGGGCAGTGGGCCTTTACTAGGAATTGGGTTGGACAGTGGTCTTTTTGTGGACTTGGATAGAACTTCCTTTGAAAATCGACTTGCTAAGAGAGGATGCCTAAATCTTATAAACCACATGCCCACCTTTTTCCCTCAATGTGGGCCCTAAAATTCCTCCACACTTCGAGACCTAATGTCCTCGTTGGTCTTCTTTTTAAGAGAGCGCTCATTAAGTTAGGATCCCACATTGAGAAGGAAAGAGGTGGGCATGTGGTTTATAAGAAGTTGGATACCCTCCCTTAACAAACCGTTTTCTAGGAGATTTCTACCCAAACCCACAAAAGGATCACTG